TACCAATCACCTCTTTGCTATTATCGTCCATCAGACAAGAATTTTTCCATTTCAATCTCAAACCCTCAACATCTTCAAGATTCGATTTCCTACTCAAATCTACAAATCAAAGAAGAAACAAGGAGAATTTATTCATTGACTGTGATGTATATCTTTAATTCATGTCCCCAAAATGAAATAACGGAGTAAGAAATAACCACTCTCACTGACCAACAAGTTTGTAATGTGCCGGATTCTGACTTTCTCCTGTGGCACTGATGGAATTCTGGGATTTTATCCGATATCCGGCAAATTTATGAGATCGCTTTCTGTGTGATGGTCCAGTGATGTCCCAGCGATAAGAGAATCGTGGGATTAAAGCTTATGCCAGTGTGATCATTTTATTCCAGAACGGAGATATGGGAAATTTGGCTTTTATGGAGAACTCGTAATAAAGTCGAGTCTAACCCTCTCAGCATCAGATTGAGTTCTGATGAGAGATTGATCGTAACTTGGAAAACTTGTCCGCATAATTAGTCATGTGATTTGTCCTTTTCCAATCTCCACGATTCATTTCAGTTTTACAAAGTGCATTTTTGTGGGAAAAAATATATAATAAATCCTGATCTATTTTGAATTATGTCAGTGAGGATTTATGGGTTATCATTGAAGTGAAATCTGAAATCCAAGATTTCAACAGTTCATATTTTTTGTTATATTCAGTGTTTTCTTTGAATCTCTGAGCTGAGATTTTCGTGTTGAAGTTAATCAGGTAGATTTTCTAAATATTGAATGAGATTCAATGACTCTCCTGCTCTTTGAGAAATAACTGCACGCATCATTATTTCGTGGATTTCAGGTCTGGGGTAGAAATCTAACTCCATGGATCACAAATGATAGCTTTGACATATAATTTGCATTGTATTAATTCATCAGTCAAAACACATAGAGCATTTGATAGTCCTATCTCTGTAACTTGAAACATGAAATATAAGAAAGGTCAAATTGAAATCCTTTGAATCAAATTCAAATTAAAACAATATTCACCTTCATTATGTAGTAAAAAGATAATATAAATGTTCTTAACATGAAATTTAAAACGACAATTAATCATCGTTTCTAATCTGTACATTATCTTGCATGCCAGCAGTATCAGTGGGTCAGCCAATAGTAACTCTGGCATCTCAGATTAATCATACTTGTTTTTTAAACCAACTGTAGAATTATGTTTGATATCAAACATTTGACCTCAGGAGGGAGGTTTCTTTGCTGACACCAACAGACAAACGGTCTTCATTTGGTTTTCATATCAGAATCAAACCTACTCTATTCTCAGTCATGAGGATCAATATTGTGAGGGCAAATGAGATAAATGGGACCAAAGGGAGTGTGTTTTTGCTAAATATTTGTCTGGTATTTCTGTAATCAGTGCTGGTGACATCAATCATTGGCAGCTCTCTGTTCCGTCATCATGCTGCTAGTTTCTGTAATGGTAGTGGTAGTTGCAGTAGAGATATGGGTAGTTGTTGTTGTGGTAGTTGCTGTGAGGGTAGGGGTAGTTTATGTAATGGTAGTGGTAGTTGCAGTAGAGATATGGGTAGTTGTTGTGGTAGTTGCTGTGAGGGTAGGGGTAGTTTCTGTAATGGTAGTGGTAGTTGCAGTAGAGATATGGGTAGTTGTTGTTGTGGTAGTTGCTGTGAGGGTAGGGGTAGTTTATGTAATGGTAGTGGTAGTTGCAGTAGAGATATGGGTAGTTGTTGTGGTGGTAGTTGCTGTGAGGGTAGGGGTAGTTTCTGTAATGGTAGTGGTAGTTGCAGTAGAGATATAGGTAGTTGTTGTTGTGGTAGTTGCTGTGAGGGTAGGGTAGTTTATGTAATGGTAGTGTTTAGTAGTTGCAGTAGAGATATGGGTAGTTGTTGTTGTGGTAGTTGCTGTGAGGGTAGGGTAGTTTCTGTAATGGTAGTGGTAGTTGCAGTAGAGATATAGGTAGTTGTTGTGGTAGTTGCTGTGAGGGTAGGGGTAGTTTCTGTAATGGTAGTGGTAGTTGCAGTAGAGATATGGGTAGTTGTTGTTGTGGTAGTTGCTGTGAGGGTAGGGGTAGTTTCTGTAATGATAGTGGTAGTTGCAGTAGAGATATGGGTAGTTGTTGTGGTAGTTGCTGTGAGGGTAGGGGTAGTTTCTGTAATGTTATTGGTAGTTGCAGTAGAGATATGGGTAGTTTGTTGTTGTGGTAGTTGCTGTGAGGGTAGGGGTAGTTTATGTAATGGTAGTGGTAGTTGCAGTAGAGATATGGGTAGTTTGTTGTTGTGGTAGTTGCTGTGAGGGTAGGGGTAGTTTCTGAAATAGTTGTGGTTTTTGTAATGGTAGTGGTGGTTGCAGTAATGGTAGCAGTAGCTGCTGTAAGGGTAGTGGTAGTTTCTGTAAGGATTGTATATATGTAGTAGTTTCTGCAATGCTTGGAAAAGGTGCTGTAATGATAGTGGTAATTGTTGTAATGGCAGTGTATACAGGTAGTGGTAGCTGCTGTAATGATGGTGAGATTTGCAGTAAATATAGTGGTAGATGCTGTAAGGATAGTTGTAGATGTTGTAATGGTAGTGGTAGCTGTTGTAATGGTAGTGGTAGATGTTGTAATGGTAGTGTGTAAAGGTAGTGTGTAAAGGTAGTGGTAGTAGCTATAATGATAGTCTATAATGGTTGTGGCTGTATAGGTATGGGTAGTTTCTGTAGGGGTTGTACTTGCTGCTGTAAGGTTAGTGGTAGCTGTTGTAATGGTAGTGTGTAAAGGTAGTGGTAGTAGCTATAATGATAGTCTATAATGGTTGTGGTTGTATAGATATGGGTAGTTTCTGTAGGGGTTTTACTTGCTGCTGTAAGGTTAGTGGTAGCTGTTGTAATGGTAGTGTGTAATAGTAGTGGTAGTAGGTATAATGATAGTCTATAATGGTTGTGGTTGTATATGTATGGGTAGTTTCTGTAGGGGTTGTACTTGCTGCTGTAAGATTTAATGGTAGCTGTTGTAATGCTTGGAAAAGTTGTTGTAATGGTAGTGGTAGTTGCCGTAATGGTATTTTGTGATGCATTCAATCTACATATTTGCAAACAACAGCAAAAGTGCTCTTTACATCACCTGTGTTATCACTGAGGTCTGACTGAAGGAAGTGGTCTGAAAATAGTCCTCAACTTTCATGTAAGGATCATGGTGCAACATGACTGGAGTAATGTTTGAGCTAGTCCTGTTATTAGTCATTCTAGGCAATGATTACCACTGTGGGACTTACATTTGTCACAGAATTCAGTCTGTACAACAGAAATACACTACCTCTCTAGCACAACTATATATATCACATGAATAATGCATTATGTTGAACTCAATGCCATACCTTCCTTTGATGAGGGAATATTGAAACCGATGAAACAAATGCGTATGATCAACTATGCTTCAAAGTGACACTTAGCCTGCTTTGTTCTTATGGCCAGGGGGGTGTTCTGCTAATGTTGAAGACAACAAACTCTATCAATCTCTGGCTAAAATGTTATAGTACTAGATGGCATTTCTCATTCTTTTCCCTCGGAGAGAGGTCTGGAGCTGTTGTTAGAGGACATGTCTCTTGTGTTTGATACTGTTTGCCAGCCCAGACACCACTATCTAGATGTTATCTATATCCCAGAACCTCAGCTGGACAGATTTATTGTCCCATTGTCATTTAATGCAGGCTCTCTGACTGAGTTTTCCACTTGTAGTGATCTCTGGACTTTGTGCTTACTAAATAGTTTGTGTCTCAGATATGGTGGTCCTGATTGGGATAATTTTCAGATACCCAGAACACTGGTTGTTTTGTGTTTGTGTGTTCAGAGATGTTTGTTTACGTGCATAAATCTATATGAGATAAAGATTAAGATAACAGTTTGACAGTAATGGATTGGTTCCAGTGTTGGAGATAGTAGGTATTGTGGCCTCCTGTAGGGTTTGGTCATAGAAACATTGCATTTTTGTAATGTTATGGAAATTCTGTGAAAACTGTATATACACTAGGCATATGTTTGTTTGAGTTTGTTGTTTACACTGCAGTCAACAGTATTCTAGCTGTTTCATAGTGACATGTAAATGATCAAGTGTGGGCCAAACAAATCAGTGGTTGATGTTATGAGCAGCGACACATGCTAATACTTACTACCCTGGAACCAGCTTAAATGAATAAAGAAATTAGATATGTCTGTAACTTTAAAACTATTTTGCCTTGTTTCCATTGGAATCTGTTTTGGTAAATAATTGATATTAGTTGTTCTCTGGTGTTGGCATTATATATTGTGTGGGATTGGACAAATGACACTGAATACAGGGATTGTGCTTGACCATGTTGGTGATACATGACACAGAGTCAGTGTATTGTGATTCAGATCAAGATATACTTTATGAAAGAGTGGATATTTTGCCATAAAAATACAGAGGTGAAACCAAAAAGATGTTCATCATGTACGGTCTATTTGTTGTCTAACACTGCACTCAGCAATATTCCAGCTGTATGGCAGCTGTCTGTAAATAATCGAGTATGGACAAGAGAGTCCAGTGACCAATATCATGAGCATCGATCTACACAAATGGGATGCGATGACATGTGTGGACCAAGTTCGTGAGCCTGACCACCTGATACTGTTAGGTGCCTCTTATGACAGGCATGGGGTTGCTGAAGACCAGATCTTCACGGGTTCATCATGTACTGAATTGTATTATGTTGTTATATATATTCAGGTTTCACATCTATTCCTTCATCACTGTTTTAGGGTATTTTGCAAGTACCTGCTCATAATATAGGTGGAATCTATAGTAATGATTATTGAAGGGGTTGTAAGTTGCACAGTTTGTCATAAGGCAAACACTATCTAAGGAACATATTAGAATTGAGCATCGAATGAAAAATGTGGCTATGCATGTATACAATTGTCAGCCTCGTGAATCATTTCATATATATATGTGTGTGTGTATGGTTCACCTAATGGTAATTTGGTTTGTGTTTCAGTATTCGCCACTGATTCAGGACACAGTTTTGAGAGGAACATTCAATGCCACTCTGAACAACCCAGTTGTGCCCCAAGTGGAGCCAGTGCATCAAGGAAGTGCAGCCAAACATGCTTTCCTCCTGGGAGTTTAACTTGTCAGTGCAACAATCATTGGACTATTTAGGAGAAACCTATCCTGAAGTTCACTGTTCCTGGTCATTAGTTTAAAGGAAGTTTCTTTTGCATTCTATATATAAGTAGGTAAAATGTAAGTCCAAAGGCATTAAGGCTGTACATTGCCTAGGAGGTAAACAATGAAAAGCCATAGAACTTGGACATTTGATTTTCAACAAAGTTCAATCAATTTTGTTTTAAGAGTGAAAAGGTTAGTAATAGTGGCATCAATTTCATTTTTGCAAAATTCAATTTCGTATCCTTTCATTATGGCATAGTCCATTTGAATTTTGCAAGCTTTGTTATGATGTCCAGTAAGCTTATTCTAAAAGCAGTTGTTAGGGAATTGTTTTATCATTTCATTGTTTGCACTATGCCAATGTTTGGAAGTGCTGCTGTTCTTAACATGCTGGTAATTAAAGATATGCAAGTGATATTTTTTTATGGAAAAAGGAAAGTTTTCTATTTTATCATTTCATAGTCTTTTGATCTTAAAGAGTGGTTTTGAGCGTGATTTGAACATCTGAAATGATTTGATATTTTCGAAGCACATTTCTACTGCTGTATGTATGTATATATTATGTCCTCCATCCAAACACTATCATCCAGAAATATCGTGTTAGGCTTTGACGTTTAATGCTCCAGTTGTTAACAAGACCAGTTGTTAAGAAACCAGTCTGTTGTTAGGTATTACGTTTGTTATACACTTCCATTCTTTACAAGGAGTATTATCATTTTAGCACAGTATCCAGTAATTTATGAATTGTACTTCACCAACAGCATTCACCTGTCAGTATTGTATATAAAATGTCCATAAATGTCCATACATGTCCATATGAGTATGGAGGGTTAAGAAATGTGCAGTTTCTATCAATAAAACAACTCACATTGACTGTGCTGTGATAATGTGGACAACTTGTTATGATATATTATTGAAAGTAAGGAAAGTTATTGTCTATTTTATTACACCATTATATGTCTATATGATGTACACACTGTTGTCAGTAAATTCATTTATCATGTCAGAGTGTTTGTCATGTTTGTTGATGTTTGTTTCGGGTTTTGTTGTTTTTATACACTAATCCATGTTCATTGCACAACCTTTTGCATTCCAAGGGAACTTTCCAGATTCAGTATAAAGTGTATGAGATTGTTATGGATCTGACTGCTGTGTTTAGCCTCTATGCTGGTAAATAGCTAAATACCTATCCATGTTAATATGGGTTTGATCCTTCTCAAATTTATGCATTCTAATCTGACCAATTCACATGCAGATCATGTTAGATATGCAAAGTTAAGTATATGAAAAGAGAAATAATGGTAAGTACATGGAAGTGTGTCACACTGAATTTATGAAATATGTCAGAAATTCACAAGTAAAATGTGTTTGATACACCAGTTCTTGACAAATTGATCATAAAATGAAACAACTGTTTCTTATAGAACTAGTAATATCGATATGACATCGTTAATGATGAGTGACATATCGCCATCACCTATGACATCTAAAAATGTGTGGCATTTCCTTGGTGTTATACATGATAGTGGCATTTATCTTGTGTGTGAAACATTTATGTTTCAAAAATTCTTCATTTTCAGTTTTCTTTACATATACACAGAGTCAACACTGTTATCTTCATAGTATGAATGCATTTCATATGAAATATTGTCTTTCTTTTACTTGTGTGTAATATCAACATGACCGTGTGTACATCTGAGTGTTTAATCCTTTTCATTCCTCTGTACCCCAGCTCTTCCACTGCCCTGTGCTAGTGACTTCAAACAATAGTTCCATGTCAGTTCTGTGAGGGCTGGTTGCTGCAGGTAGGGCAGGACACCTGTCTCTGGCACCTGGTGTCGTCACTGATTTTCAGTAATCCATTCATATAATTTTAAACTTCCATTATGCCTTTTACGACAGTGGAATCTGCTTTGGCGGAAAATCGAAACTGTTTCTTTTCTCTGGCGTTGACATTTTATATTATTCTCCAAAGTGATAAACATTTACGACCGGCATCGCTTTGGGTTTTCATCCCCAAACAAGCTGACTCAGTGATGCAACTGAAAATATTGTACCATGCTGTCCCAACTCTTAGACCTGCATCCAGACCAACAGTATGGCAGGAACAAAATGGTTTAACAATAAAATATAATGTCTATTTCGTCAGATGACATGATCTAAATCAGAAAAAGTTAGCATGGAAATATTTCATATCCCAAGTAATAAACCACACATTTTGGTGATGGTGATGTTTTGTAACTCCAACATAATGTTATGGCTGTATTAGAAGATGTTCAGTTTTGTGAGATTATGTTTACCCATGGGATGCAATGAAATATTGCCACATTTTGTATCTGTTGGCGGCATCAACATTTCCGATTTGGGATGTGAAAGCCACATCCAGTTGTCCATAAAAGTAGGACTGGAATGGGCTTTTTAGCAAGAATGGATTTGGAATGAATAGAATGACACCCAAACATTGAGATTGTTTTAAATAATAGATACACAGAGTGACTCAAGTTACATGTCACTGGTTCTCGTTTTATCTCCTTGTCCTTTTGGGTCTCAAATTCCTCATTCTAACACTTCAAATTGCAACTTTCCTGACTAAATAATGTGAGTCACTGGGCTGAATAATATGGAGCAGTGTCCATGACACGTATTTAGTGATAAACGGCTTGTAAAAAGTACATTATGCTGGTTTCAGAGAGACAAGGAAATGTAGATTTTATGGCTGAAATTTAGATTTTAGCAAATGTAAGTTATGTCTGAGAATTGTCTTAATTAAACTAGATTATGTATAAGTTCAATATTTTGATAAATGTGGCTTAAATATCATTCATACAGAAGATTATTGTCTAAACACACAAAAAATTAATGCATTTTCACTGTCAATGTTCAGGCCGATATTCTGTTCTTCTTTTCACATTGTCAGTTTGGCATGACTCAATTTGCATTATGCATATATTTGTTTTTCTTTTAAGCTGGCTTTTCAACACAAGGTTCATGTACTCAGCCTAATATTCAATATGTTCCGTTTGTCACAATGTTTCATATCAGTACGGATTCTCAGCTCTTAATTCATATTTGCTTCATATCGAACATCAGTGATACACAAACAGCTATAGCTGCCATTAATGAGACAGCAATTATTCCATGAAGCTAATCCGGTTACGTAGCTTATTGAACAAATTTGTCTGGACTAATTTGTGGGAAACTTTTCATCTGCTTTGCCAAAGAAACCTGTTTAGCCTCTGTATTGAGCTTATCAGTGTTGGGTGATGTAAGCCAGGCAGTTGTCCATGCTAATGAGCCTTTTGTTGTGCCGCCCAAGCAGCCTCCGTATCTCTGACCTCGTGGTCACAAAACGATGTCAGGCTTTGATACAAGTTGTAGACCTACTGGACATTTTGCGTGTATGTGTGGAAGATATTTACATGTTTAAGGCAATTACTGATCAAGGCTGTAGCCGAGTTATGAATGAATGCCAAGAGTCACACTCGGTAGCTGTGCACCGAGAGACATGCTGATGTTGTATACTTCTAATGGAGTCCAGATGGAGTTTAGACAATAAGCTTGATTGATTGATATGTTACATTATGTGAAAGCTTTCAGACTTTTGATGTTTATATGTTTCTTGTATGTTCAATAACATGCACCATATTGGAAAGGTTTGACTGGCATTTTCTATTACCATTATTGAACAGGCATGGTGGGTAGAACTTGATGAAGCGAGGGGTCTGGTTTCATGCAGGCCTCTATTCATTGATATTTGTATCATAATGGCATTTTGGAGGAATTTTGGCATTTAGGAGCAGGTTGTACAGTATATTCATATCATCTCTCCATGTTGCTCCATGTTGCTGACAGTGAGATGTTCTTCTATAAGGGACTGGTCTTATAATAGGATGGGACTGAGATGGGGGATGGGTTGGAGGCTGATCATGAAAAAATGACAGAAAGACTAGGAGTTGCTAAATGTTTTCACAGCTATTGTGGGGCATAAACAGATTATACAGTTATATTTTTTAGAAATATATATTAATTTTGTTTATTATTTACAGACTTGCCATGTATGGTAGGAGTTGGGTGAGGTCATGAAAATGTATTAGGATGGCATGAAAAAAATGCCACATAAGATGATGAGATCAGCATAAGTGATACAGTCCCATCACCACCCTCTCTCCTCACCCCCTAATAAACTAGCAGTGACCCTTGAACCTTGGTGCTGTGAGGGCAGAACAACTGATGTATGTGTATGTTCTTTGAATTACATAACTGAAACAATTTACCTGGTCCTACTAACTATACTTCCCTTCATCTATCACTGAGGGCATGGTTATATGTATCTTATATAAATAAACCTCTGTGTGTGTGTAAATATAGAGAGAGACTCAACACTACATGGGATAAATTTGGTGAGTTTGACACTGGAAAGAAGTTTTCTATAATTTGTGGTTGTAAAGAAATCAGAGATGCTATACTTCATCAGCGTGAGCGACTTGCGGAGAATGTTGGCAGGAGATGGTAGTGGGATGGGTTGCACTGGCTGCTCTGGTAGTCATGTCAAGTATGTCATCATTTGTCCCAGGCATCTTGATTGATGCTGTGATGCTACTCAGGCTGTGATGATGACAGTGACTATGCTGAGGGTTGGTTGTATGCTTGCTTCTAACACATGGTCCAGGTTTGAATCCCTGTATGTTTAATTTATGTAAAGTTTAATGGTGATATCCTCTGTTGTGATGTGGTGGTAATAATTCACTGGAAACCAACATTAGTGTCCTATGACAGTCATTTAATCAAGAGATGGATATGGATAATTAGTTTTCATGAGAATGAAATACTTACAATAACCGCTGTAGATCGGAAATAGCTGTATTGCAACTCCCCTGAAGCTTTAGACATGGGATATCTGACATTCATCATTGTAGCTGCTGTAACTGACATTTCCTTATTTAACAAGTTTATCCTCAAACTACTGAAATAAATCCTGGATCAGGGATATTGCCATATTTATCCCAGCACCATGGCCCACCATTGTTGGCAGTGCACATCGCTGTGCCAGATGCCCTAGCATTAAGCATGTAATGAAGTTCAAAGTGTCACAGAACGGTAGGAAATCCAAGAGGAAGATTTACCTCTCTCTCTAAAGTCTCATTTAATTTGCATGCCATCAACGTCAATTAAAATGTTGTCCCTGTGAAGCAATTCAGGGAAGCTGGTAATTTAGTACTAGCGTGGTGAAGCAGTGAGGGGCACCACGTACACCAGCAGCACCAAATTTGAAAATGTTGGCAAAGATTGAATTAGGGACTTCAAAGAACGTGTAAACTATTTAATTTTCGTATGACGTTTTTTCTGTTTCTTTATGCATTTCCATCCTGTTTTGCTGGCTTATGTCATTTTTTTCAAGTTTTGTATAATTTCCCTTAATCTTCAGTAACACTAAAGTATTCCTAACAGAAAGGACTGGCTTACACAGTTATATTTGAAAAAATGTTCCAGTTAAATTATTGCATTAGATAAATAGGATTATTTAAGTTTTTCAGCCTTTCAAAATTAAGCGTATTTTGTTGAAATGATATCATCACATCAGGTACAGCTGAGAAAGTACTTACCTTGATTTTAGGTCCTATATCTTTATAATCTAACGAATGATGGAACAATTACCAACATCTTTGCCATATGGTGACTGGATCAAATTCCTGTGTTTTTTTTGGTAATGCTGTTAGACTTTTCCTTAAATTCTTATTCTGGTCATACTGACTTTCCTTGCTTTTTGAAATGACAATAAAAGTAGTGAAAAAGCAGTAAAGTGAGAATTCAATCTCCCAGCTCATGTTTTCCCCCACATAAACCTCCCAGCTTCCTCTTTTATATCACCGTGTGTCGCCAGGAACACACACATGTATGAATTTCATTTTTAAAGACTAGCTCTAAGTACTCAAGATGATCTCCTAATGTACTGTGTGGAGAAGTGCCTAAGAACTGATTCGGCCCTGGTTTAGCTTGCAGTAA